TCCAGCGTTGTTGTCGTTCCGTAGTTCTCGAAGTTTCTCTTCCAGGAAACCTCGCGTCCTCAAATGGCCACTCTCCAAGCTTCAAACTTCTTCGCCGGAAATCCGTCGGCTTCACACACGCAGCTGTTGCCCGCGTCTTCGCTCGATAGCGGTAAACCCACGCTCTTGCCTGTAGCTCGAGCCGTCCCTACGGACCAAAAACTTCGCCGACTACACGGCGGAATCTCTACGCACTCTGGCGCTCACTTCCGTCTCCTCCTGTTCTGTCACTACGGGCAGAACCTTCGCCGACTACACGGCGGAATTCCTACGCGCTCTGGCGTTAACTTCCGTCACCTCCTGTTCCGTCACTACGGGCAGAACCTTCGCCGACTCCACGGCGGAATCCCTACGCGCTCTGGCGTTAACTTCCGTCACCTCCTGATTTCTCGTCTCGGCTGCTCGGTTAAATACCTTGCGCGCGACTTTCCAGATCTTTCTCGTCATTTCGTCGGCGCGATACGCAGCGAAGGCTGGGGAGAGGCGAGACGGTTTGTCTGCCCTCCGCGTCGGATGACTCAGCTCGGTCTGACCCCGCCCCGTTCGTTCGAGAGAAATCGCGGTCTTGCTGGGCCGCAGATGTGGGGTGAGGAGGATCGTCTGCGAAGCCGTGCTTCTGCGGGGAGAGCGCGCGCCCGGGAGCCCTGGATGTTTGCTTTCTTTTTCTTTTCTTTTTACCTCGCGGCGTTTCTGCCGCCCGTTGTCGCAAGGATTTGGCGGCGCGCTCTTGTTTAGCGCTCGTTCTGTGACACTGCCCCCCACTTTAAGAATATTATCTCATAATATTCAAAACCACACAAACGAGCGCGAACAGTCACCACACATTCTCACAGACTGTAACACAATCCGTCGCTCATGACACTTCACATTCACAATATATCACTCAATACAATCGTACATTGTAGTTCAATTCCACAACACATGAAATATAACCACAGGTACATGCCTACAACGCTTCATCACACATTCTAAACAATACAAACGTACAAAGTTCTGTCTATCCAACAATTATACAACACTATACATCACACCATCGCACAGAACACTGACTCACTCGACATACACTTGAGACACAGGATAACAAGAACATTAACTCAACATATGTCACTCAGCCCTGCCGAACACATTCTGATTCCACCTCAGCACCTATCTTGAGTACTTCGAACAGCGCTTGCGCCCCTTTTTGCGGTGCTCGCTCGATCTATTCTTGTGTTTCCACGTTCTTTTTCGGCGAGCCCTTTCCCACGACGATATCTGAGGCGTCGTCTCAGCCATCGTTGTCTCTTCCGACACCGTTAACGCGTCATTACATTCGACGGGTCCTGTCTGTTTATTTACCCGCTTGATCATGCCTCTACATTTTGCCCGGCTGGCCAACTCCGTCTCCTTTACACTGTCAGTCGGTTGAGGTCGTGCCGACGTACGTCCGGTTGCTCGGCCCGTGAACTGATTCGACACGATCGTCTTCTCCTTCGCTGTCTCTTGCGCCGCAGCTTCACCTTGGGCTCTAGTGAGCTCCATCACGGGATGTTCCTCCACTGTATCTCGCGGCCGCTGTGTTGGCGAGGGCTCTATCTTCGGGTCTTCTCCCAAACATTCTGGATCACTTGGCCCTCGCGCCCCGTCGATGTTTCCGATGACAAGGTCATACAGGGGGGTCGTCATGCATAACGCAGTAACCCTCCCGCTGAAGTACGGGGTTTCAACCTCAATTTCTGCTTCGGGAAGCATACGGACCGTACGGTCAATTAGGCAAACCGGTTTCGTTCTGCCTGTCAACTCTCTTTCCCGTACCAAATTTCTCCTCACGATAACCGTGGAACTGCCGGTATCTCTTAACACCGTAATCTTTTTGCCCGCAACTTTTCCAGGCAGTGTTGGCATTCCTTTCGTAACACCGGTTGGCTGTTTTGACATTACAGCCCCCACAATAGGAATTTTCTCCCCATTCTTCAACTCTACGAATCCATCGGTGACGGCATTATTATCGGATTTCGGTGCTGCTTGCACACAGGATACCTGGTGAGTTTGACTCACTCCGTTTCGACATGCATCCGCTTTGTGCCCAGTCTGACCACACTTGAAACATTTTACTGCCGTAGGGCTCGTAAAGATCGTTCGACAGTTTTTCGCGTGATGACCCACTCGGTTGCACAGAAAACATCGCGGAATGCTCTCTGGTGCACGCTTCTTTTCTTCGGCAGCCAATTTCTTCGAATCATCGGGACAATCCTTCTTGACCTTGGCCAAATTAGTTCCTCCTTGCGCTTCTAAGAATTGATCAGCCAATTCAAGCATTCCTTCAAATGACTCCGCCTTCCTCTCTTTCAAATACAGCGACAGGCTTGGGTGGCAACTAGTAAGAAATTGTTCTTTAATTAGCAGCTCTCTAAGTTCATCGTACTCCTGTGCTGTCCCCGAAAGTTCAATCCATCTGTCGAAATAATGGCAAAGTCGGGCGGCATACTGCGTAGCCGTCTCACCATCAGCTGGCTTTCCTGTCCGAAATCTGTCCCGGAATCCTTCCACAGTGAATCTAAATCGCTTCAGCAAAGCAGCTTTCACCTTTGCATAGTTGGCTGCATCGGTCGGCGTCAGCCTACCGTACACACTGAGCGCTTCACCACTCAAGCAGGTACTCAAAGCAGTTGCCCATTGCTGTTCCGGCCAATTCTGGCTCCTCGCAATCGTCTCAAATCTGTGGAGGTACGCGTCTAGGTCGTCCTTCCTTTCATCAAACGCTACGAGCAGCTTGCTTGGGTTCAAGCGGAAGCCGTGATCTTCCCGTTCGCTGCTTTCAACTCTAGCTTGGACGGGAGTTTCGTTTCGCTGTTGCAAACGGAGCCGCTCGAGTTCAATTTCGTGCTGCCGCTGCCGTTCCCTTTCAGCCATCTCCGCTTCTCTTTCTTCTTTCAGCTGGCGCTCCCTCGCTTCTCTTTCTTCTCTCGCCCTTTCGGCTGCCAACTTCTCTCTCTCCACCGCCTCTTTCTCCTTCTGGCTTACCCATTTCCGTAGTTCGGCACCGGAAAGACCCATCTTCTCGCCAAGCGCAACTAACTTTTCGAGATCCATTGTGTCTCGCAACTCGCAAATACAACCTTGCCGCGTGCAAAAAGTATCTGCCTAAATCAGTCTATCGGAACACTCCCCTGCACTCGTTAACACAAAATCGTTCCGACAGCACAATCAACAACTCGAGGCTCTTTCCTACTACTTTGGACACACTGTGCACCAAAAAGTCCTGTCGCGGACACCAGATTAATTGTCACACCTGTCCCGTTATTAGGGAGGCGATCGCCGGGCTAATTCCAAGAGCCGAAGTATCGGCCCCCCGAACCGCACCACGAAAGCGTGGACAATTTAGAAGTGGTCCTTATTGGTGCGCCAGCGGACGCCGGCTGTGGCCCAAAGAACAAGTCAGAGCCGAGAGTTGATAACAAACAAATTATATTCTCAATTGGCAGATCGAAAATAATACACAAAAATGCACACTCCACAATAGTTCATACAATTCGTCACCAAATCAAACAACGTACTACACGGTACAATCGGCCACACTCAAAACAACGGACACGGACAACAATACGCACTACAATACAGTCGCATGCATTGAACAACCAAGACACTTAAGACTAAAGAGATAGAGAACCTATCCAGTCCAAAGTTCTTGGAACCAAAGTCGAGATGATACTCTTCCGAGAATCACTCACTCAAAGTCCAGCGTTGTTGTCGTTCCGTAGTTCTCGAAGTTTCTCTTCCAGGAAACCTCGCGTCCTCAAATGGCCACTCTCCAAGCTTCAAACTTCTTCGCCGGAAATCCGTCGGCTTCACACACGCAGCTGTTGCCCGCGTCTTCGCTCGATAGCGGTAAACCCACGCTCTTGCCTGTAGCTCGAGCCGTCCCTACGGACCAAAAACTTCGCCGACTACACGGCGGAATCTCTACGCACTCTGGCGCTCACTTCCGTCTCCTCCTGTTCTGTCACTACGGGCAGAACCTTCGCCGACTACACGGCGGAATTCCTACGCGCTCTGGCGTTAACTTCCGTCACCTCCTGTTCCGTCACTACGGGCAGAACCTTCGCCGACTCCACGGCGGAATCCCTACGCGCTCTGGCGTTAACTTCCGTCACCTCCTGATTTCTCGTCTCGGCTGCTCGGTTAAATACCTTGCGCGCGACTTTCCAGATCTTTCTCGTCATTTCGTCGGCGCGATACGCAGCGAAGGCTGGGGAGAGGCGAGACGGTTTGTCTGCCCTCCGCGTCGGATGACTCAGCTCGGTCTGACCCCGCCCCGTTCGTTCGAGAGAAATCGCGGTCTTGCTGGGCCGCAGATTGGGGGTGAGGAGGATCGTCTGCGAAGCCGTGCTTCTGCGGGGAGAGCGCGTCGCCCTGACATACAGTGACCAAAGCGTCTTGTGCCATGGGTCTAAAGAGACGCATTAGCAATAATCATTAGTGCATGCGCACAGACATGCTAAAAGTGATTTACTGTATGTAGATATGCCCTGTACTAGAGATGGAATGTGCGCTATTTTCAGGCGATCCACCATAGATTTTCACTTCCTCTACTTTTACTTGAACGCCCAGCAGTTTGCTGGTGCTAGGGTCGTCCAAAGTTGTTGCAGACGCAGTTCTATAAAAGTAATCCGTAATATTTCCTTTGCTCATCAGATTCAAATTAACAACAGTTCAAGCGTGCTTAAGCGTCTATATTAATAAGAATTGCCAATAATAATATAGTAGAAATATAATAATAATAATATAATAATAATAAGAATGCCAGTAAGACAAGACCAATATATATTACACAGCCAACCAGCCCAGTTTGTCAATGTGCAATGTCTTAGCATTCATAGCCCACACGTAATCTTTACCCAGCAACTACAGTACCCTTTAGAGATAAAGCCTAATGATAAAGTTGTAATCAGTGACAGGTTGAGTGAATCGTCTATACCATAATGTCCCGGGGCCATGACGTCGACGATGGGAGCAGACTGCAGGTCGAAGATGAAACTGTTTATTTGTCTGAACCTGTGACCGGTCAGCGAAAATTCAGGACACAGCGATACACACAGCAGTGATAGCGGTGAACAGAACGTCGGCCGTCGATCAACTGATAAGCGTTGAAGCACGTCGGCACCTAATACATGTCTCGTCGAATATTCTAGTGCTATTGCTAGGAGGCACGTACCTTCCAGAATAATCTGCAATGTTCGTGAAGTGGTTGTAACCCTAACAAAATGATCTACTACACTCCTGAATCATCTCGAACACTGTAGGCGCGGTTTGCGCTGAGAATTACTGACAGCGTAACAGGGCGATAACGAACCTTCAGGGAGGAATGTAGCAATATAATGATAGATTCCGCAACAATGCGACGGTCCTGATAGCAACTGATGCGTCGCAGTGTGAAGACAAGGCCGGAGTGGGATTTCTTTCCTACACAACCACGTGGATCGTTCTCTGTAAGACTTTCGGATTATACGCAAATAATTTTGGCTCAATTTTAGCTTTAGGTGAGCTTCGCTTCTCCAAAACTTCTGTGACTATGGTGACAGATCCATTATCATTTTGTACTGCTCCTCCAACGAACTCCCATACACTAAGAAAATTGCGAATATTTATTACACATCAATTGCGAAACCTGCGATCAATTTTAGTGCCGGGACACAAAGGAATAGTACCGAATGAAGTGGCGGACACTTTGGCGGAGGCTACCTTGGCAGGCCCTGTCCTTCTTCCAGTTACGGCGTTTGTTACTTCAGAGAATGTAGGCTTTGCCACTGCTACAACTTGTTTCCTCACTGGATTTTCAGCACCTTCAGCTCCATTGGAGCAGGAATTGGTGCGATAGAAGATGGGCACAAGTTGTGATAACCAGACTGCGGTGTACAATGCCAAATCTCAATTTATACAATTCATGCATGAACAGAGCGGGCCTGCTAATCCCTCCTTTTTGCTCCTTCTGCAATGAGACCGCAACTACCAAACACTTCCTTGCTGTACTGCCGACGTTTTTTGATCACACAGAAAACTAAAGACGAAATTGTATTGCCGCAACTTGTTAGAGCAGTTACGTCAACCGTGCTGTTATCATTGGGGGCTTAGGCACCGGGACACTTCGACTGGAAGAATATTCCAGGCTGCCGAAAAGTTCATATTGCAACTCAAATAGATTTATTAGTTGAATAAACCACTGATCATTCTACAATATGTAATCTTACTAAAATATATTTACTCTTCGGGAGTTTACGCGAAATGGTGTAGGCTATAACTGTGATTCTTCATATTATGTTTGCATATGTAACCTCTATTACCATTTAGCAATCTAGTTAATAATCCAAACTCAATGATCTGCCCACCCTTTTGCTGATCTTCCTGAATGGTTGTTTGCTTTCTCCTTTCATTGATTGATTGATTGATTGACTGATTGATTGATTGCCCCTCTCTCCCGGCGCAATATACCATGAGGGATTGGCCATGAAACGAGCGGCGCCTTGTTAGAAGAATTTATTCATAATTTCAAAATGGTACGTAATAGATAGTTTCGAAATGATTTGTTAGAACATTTCGCAAGAGAAAGAAGACTAATGTTTTAATGAATATGTTTGCTTTTGATAACGTTCAAACCAAATGTATTTTATAAAATAAAGTGATGATCAATTCTTTAAAAGATATTATTGAATTCGATGAACTCCGCCTTCAATTCGTCTGGTCTCTCGTAGGAAATCGCATATGGCCTCGCAAACGCTCCTGTGACTAAAAACCCAGCACGGTAATTGCAATGTTAATAACAACCGGAATGGACAAATTTATTCTCAACCTTCAAAGTGGTTTGTCTAAAATTGTTTTGCTGTGATTGGTGAATAATCTGCTCGTTGAAAAGAAAAGACCCAGAGATCCACTCTCCTTGCAATCGAGGCTTAAAGGTGACTGCACCGGAGCAGACCTGTGTAGACAGATCGGTTGCTCAATAGCTTGGCAAAACCCACCTAGGGGGATATGCCACGAATCGGACGGTGCCTTGCTTGTTAAACTAATTTACTTGTAGTATTTCAAAAAAAACTTCGAAATGTTTGACATAATTAACACATACACACACACACACACACCTGTGTAGGTGGGCCACTTTTATACTGGCGGAACTGGCTAATGACAATGATGGTGACGCCTTAAATATGGTTCATAACCGCTCAGGGAGATCGGCCCAGAAGTGATTACCTCAGCAAGATGTTTTCATTATAGAATATTTATGAAAAAAATAATGTACGTGAAACGAAAAGAGTGCTAGAAGTGCTGTTCTCCCGTTCAGACCAGACAGGATCATCATTGTCTTCACTACAACTGAACGTGGTTAAGTATGGTTCATGTTAATAATAGTCACAGTAAAAATATCTTTTTTTGTAATGTTCAACTATTGCTGCACTAATAAAAGACAATTAGGCAGTTCAAGTCTCCGTTGTTTCGTATCGTAAAGGTAAGCACAAACGGCATCAAAACCACTCTTGTAGTGGAAGCCCAAAGTCGAGGCACCAAAGCTAAGTATATTGTCACTTGACGAATTTAGTCCCAGCATAGAGAAAGGGGTATAAATAAGTCTTTTTCTTAGTAGTATGTACTGGGGACATCATAAAAAACAATGTTTTTTTTTTGTTTCGGTTTCCAAACAAAAGTTACTAGAGGAGATATCACCAGACCATCCCAGTATAAATACAGATTTATTGGGGGGACAAGAACGCGTAATTTAGTTATTGCGACTTCCAGTTGTCTGGCAGGACACAACTGAATTTTACACGGCAGTTTTAAGTATCTGAAGTTTTACCACGACGTAATTTATTCTATGGAATCTGAATGAAGTGAAAATTTACCTTATCGCAGTTACTGTGGCCACTTCAGGAGGGACCGAAAGTAATGAACAATTCAATGCCGCTCGCGCTAAGAGAGTCAGCCATTTCATTTAATTATAATGCACCATGACCAGGTACCCATACTAACCTCAGTAGATTCAGCTGTGGGGGGACTAGCATGAGTAATGCTGTTAAGGCCGTTGATTTCTATGACGCTGTAAGTGATGTACAGACAGACAAGGTGTCGGTAATTATGAGTGCATTATGGACATTCACTGGTCATTTTTGCAGCACTAGAACAATTGCCAAGAGTTCTGCTTCAAAAACGGGGTTGGAGTCCGGTAGCCCTAATGAAAAAGACCAGCCAAGCAAACGGGAGGATACCCCTACACCTGTCTTTTCATCCATAACTTAAGCATCTGTGGCTATTATGTTATTCATTTCTACGTGTACAAGATAATCTCGCAGTTGGCTGTTAAAGGCTTTGTTAGATCATAATTTGGGCTTAGATTGGAAGATATCCCCGTATTCTAGTTTAAGATTGAGATTTGAAACCTTTGCTGCAGGCACATCTCGAATTTTCACATTTATTCTATCCAAACGTTTCTGCACAAAGATAATCTGAGGTGTTCAAAACCGTGGTCAATAGGCAAGAAAAAAGGAATTTGGACCATTTATAAAAGCATATTCAGATCGTTTTAGCGGATAGCTATAAAATTTTTAAAATACCTGAACCAACAGTACAAAAATGGCAAGGCAATGTAGACAATCGTGCTTCCTCATACATAATGTTGTTCCTAACAAGTCTAGAGAGTCCTAGACACAATCGCAAGGCCTCTCGTTCCAACCTAACCAGAGGGTTGAGTTTGCAAGCAACGCCACCTGAGAACATTACGCACCCAAATTCTAATATTGGTCCCATACACATTTTGCATATAATCACCAGTGTGGTCCTGCGTAATTCATATCGACGGTTGCTCAGTCTGCAAAGAATGCCTGCGGCACATTGTGTTTTAGATCCGATTCTCTCTATATGGGGAGTCCAGTTGAGTTTGTCATTATAAATTACTCCCAAATATTTGAGCGACTTAGCCATTGGAAGTTGTTCTTGCTTATAACACAATCATCCAACATCATCCTGCGTAGAAGGAATCTTTATCTTCGGATTTAGGTTGGTCACGAAAGAAGCAAAAGAAGAAGAAGCAAAAGGCAGGTGATCAAGCGGTGCCTCCATAGCAGCTGGTCGTGCTTGCTCTGGGGTTTTGGCCTAAGTTTGTGTAGTGGCTGTGGTTTCTTTGTCTTTATTAGGTGTTCCTATAGTGCTTTTACAGCTAAGTAAGCGCTTTTAGCGCTAGAAAGTTCACTTAGATGCAGTTTTCTTCACCTGGACCAGGGCTTGCCCCTGGTCTGCTTCACTTCCGCCACAGGATATACCAGTGGATCAGTTTCTACGCAACGGCATTCCCGCAGTTCCTGTGGCCCTCGTCCCTAGCAACGACGGCTTCATTCGGATGAAGAATCCTAAAGTGATCCAGGCGGAGCTTAGAGCTGTGACGTCTCACTTTCACAGCATCACAGAGGTCCGCCAGTTCGGCAGAGGTGGTGTTCTATGTTTTTCATCTGATCAGCTCTGTATCCAAGACCTATTGAAGTGCTCGAGTTTCGCGACCAATCCGGTGAGCGCCTTTATTCCCCCGCATCTGGCATGTGTGAAAGGTATTGTTCGCGGTGTCGATGTTAACTTGACCCCGTCTGAGGTATTAGAGATGTTTGCCATGACTGGTGCCATTTCCGTTTATAGGTGTGCACGACTAGTAGAGAAGCAGAAGACGCCGACTGAGTCGGTAATTGTAACCTTTGCTGGAGTGAATCTCCCAAGCGAAATCAAGGCGTGGCCACTAATATACAGAGTGGAACCGCTATCACCGCGACCACTCCAGTGTACTAAGTGCTGGCGATACGGTCACACTATTAAAGGATGCAGGTCAGAACTCAGATGCCGAGTGTGTGGTGACAACCACGAAACAAATTACTGCAAAGCTAAAGAAGAGAAATGTTGTCTCTGCAACGAACAACACTGTGCAGATAATCCTGACTGTTCTGCAAAGGCTCGAGAAATGCAAATGCTTGAAATTATAGGGCGTAGGCGCTGTTCTCGACGAGAAGCCCTAGCGGAAATACAGACTAGAACTCAGGGGTATGCCAGTGTTGCAGCACGACATATCTCGGAAATAAATGGGTCGATTTCCCTGAATATAGCGGAGGCCATAGAAAAGGCTCTAGAAAAAGCCATGGAACGACTGACTTCTAACCTTTGCGATTCTCTATCTCAAATTTTGGCTAACCAGATGACTCGCATATTGGTACAGCGGGAGAGTCAGGCCTAGTATCCCAACATGTTGAGAGTTCACGACCAATAGCTGACGGTGAATCTGAAACTGCGCCATCGTATTATCAGCCCGCAGGAGCCTCTGCAATAGGCGTCCACAGCCAAAATGAGGAATTTGAAACCGCACCATCGAATTCTCCGTCTACAGCACCCTCTGCAGTAGATATACAGAGTGTAAGTGAAGACAAAGCTGCATATACAATAGATTCCGATGACATGGATTTGGACCCTAGGTCCCTGAAGAGATCTAGATCCCCTGTGTCAAGGAAAACTAACTCACCGAAACAAACAAAGAACAAAAAGTATCTGAAAGAAAAGGAGAGCCTTTCAAAGAGGGATTTCTTGAAAGAAAGCATTCTAGAGAAAGCTATAGCGGAAGCAGCTCTTTCGAAACCATAGGGTCGCTTAAGATTCTCCATTGGAATTGCCGATCAATCCACTCTGCATCTACGGATTTGGTATACTTGACTTCTAAATTCGCTCCTGATATTATAGCATTACAAGAGACATGGCTATCTGTACATAATTTGTTCCATTTAAATAACTTCCAATCTTTTCGATTAGACCGTCCATCGAGAGGTGGGGGTCTAGCTCTCTTTATTAGTAATAGAATTAGTATGAAAGTCAAATGCTCATACAAACATATGTCGCCAGAATGCGAAATTTTGGCAGTAGACATTACACTGCCCAACTGCACTCCTTTCACTTTAGTTAATATGTATTTTCCGGATGGAGTTCAAGACACACGAAGTTTGGATCTAGCTACAAAATCGTGGTGCAAAGACAAAGTTTTAGTTGGAGACTTTAATTCCCAACACGCGAGTTGGGGTTTTAGAACTGATCTTAGTGGGAAACGCTTGTGGGAGTGGACAATGGACAATGACCTGACGTGCCTCAACGTCAGAACCCCCACATTTATTCGTAATCACTCCAGGTCGGCCTTAGATTTAAGTTTTGTCAGTTCAGCCATTAGTACTTCTTCTTGGAAAGCGCTGGACTGTGGCACCAACAGTGACCACTTACCGATAAGTTTTGAAATTTCTTGTCCGATAATTCCATCTTGTTCAAATGTAAGAGTATTTGTAAATTACACTAAATTTAGAAATGACCTGAAGTCAGCACTGGCTTTTCACTCGGAAGAGAGCGATGATAAAAAAGCACTGAAAATAAACGCAGTCATTAAACGATCCTACAAAAGAGCCGAATTTACTGTTGAATCCACAAAAAGAGTATATAGCCGTTGGTGGAATGATGAATGTACAAGAGAGCACCGAAGACGACAGGCAGCTTGGAAGCAGCTCTTACATAATCAATCCCCACAAAACTGGGCCGATTATAAATTCATTGCTGCGGGCTTTAAAAGAACGGTAGCTCAGGCTAAACAAGATTATGACAGAAGACATTATGAATACCTGTCGAAGCCTAAACATATGAAAGCACTGTTCCGATATATGAGAGCTCGGAAAATCTTGCCATCACCAGTTAATGTAGCTTGTGATAATCTGTCGGCACAAGAAATGACCACTACCTTAGAGGCTATCGGTAAAGGTCTGGAAAGCAGATTCACTTCAGTAGTGCCAAACAACTGGCACAAGTCTACGACAAAGTCTGACTTTGAAGAAGTGACACAGACTGAAGTATCCAACGTGATTAAACATTTACCCTGTGCATCTCCTGGCCCAGATGGAATCACAGTACCCATGATTAAAATTCTGTTCAATTTATCGCCTCGAGACGTCGCCAATGTTATTAACTACTCCTTAAAAAACTCATGGGTGCCGCAGGATTGGAGGATAGCAAAGGTGATTCCTATACTAAAAAAGCCGGGTGGAGGATTAACAGTCGATAATATCAGACCAATCTCTTTAACATCTAACATGGTCAAACTAGTAGAGAGGGTCCTACATAGCCGAGTAAGTATCTGGATGGCAGACAATTTAGTAATAAAACCGAACCAAATCGGCTTTCGTAGTGATTTCTCAATTTGGTGTGCCCATGCTGATTTAGAGAGCCGAATACAGCTCGCGCGTAAAAGAAGGCAATACGCTGCTTTAGTAACGCTTGACATAGCCAAGGCGTATGACAGTGTGGAGCACTTCATATTGTTAAATACGCTAGAGAGATTGAACTTCCCACAATATTTTATTGAGTGGGTGGCAGAATTCTTAAAATCAAGAGAATTCTACTGCGTCAAGGATGGATGTTCCTCATCTAGATTTAAACAAACGCGCGGAGTTCCCCAAGGAGCAGTCTTATCTTCAATATTATTTAATGCTTTAATGAGCACAATTCCAACAGATCAAGAAGTTACTGTCTACATTTATGCTGATGACATCGCACTCTTTGCTGCTGACTGTGGTATTTACTCATTACAACTTAAATTACAAAGATATATTAACATGTTGGAAATTTGGTTGCAGTCGATTTCGTTATCGTTAAATGTCAACAAAAGCGCGCTCATGGCGTTTCCGCTTGCAGAACCAATTTCAATTTCAATTCTATATAAACAGGAACCCATCCAGCAAGTAGACTCTATAAAATATTTGGGAATCATTTATAATGACAAACTTAACTGGAGTCCACACATAGAGTATATAACTACCAAAGCACAGCGGGCTTCAGGCTTACTACACAAGCTAAGTAACCGGAAATATGGGTTACGGAGGCACACCTTGATAACGTTGTACAAGATGTACATGCGCCCCATCATGGAATTCGGCTGCATATTATTCTCGGGTGGCCCTGCTTATAAAACGAAACCTCTAGTTGTCTTGGAGCGAGAAGCACTGCGAATGTGTCTGGGACTCCCTAGATTTGTGGCTATCAACGTACTGTACCAGGAAGCGCGCCTGCCTACACTGCTTTGTCGATTTCGAATTTTGACCGTACAAGCATTTTTAAAATTTTACAGCTTACCGGCAAGAAGATCTCAATATGCTTTTATCGCAAACCCAGACGCCTTCTTCCTTGCTCATTGGCCACGGTTTCACACACCTCAGATAATGTTTGTACAAAAAAATCTACAAAGTATAAATGTGAACATTAGAAATGTAATTGAGACTAATGACTCGAATTGTCATGTTATTATTGAGTATGATGATATATTCCCGCAAAACGCCAAATTACAATCCCTCAAATTTTTAAATAGCATATTATTAGATTACTTAGAGCATGCAAAAACTAAAAATATAATAGCCACAGATGCTTCCGTAAATAATCAAAAGGCAGGTGTAGGCATTGCCTCTGATTTGCTTGACTGGTCCTTTTCAGTGAGACTGCCTGATTTTACTCCAGTTTTTGAAGCGGAGCTCTTGGCGATTATTTTAGCTCTTCGAAAACTTCCATCAAATCAAAACAATGCAGTAATAATGACGGATTCTCTTTCAGTTTGTGCAGCTCTGACAGCTTCAGAGAACTCTCGAATTCTAAGCACATTCAAAACATTAGTACCACCGCAGTTGAGACTCCTGAGATTAGTATGGGTTCCGGGTCACTGTGGATTAAGATTAAATGAATTGGCCGATTCCTTAGCTCGAGCCGCACTTGATGGGCCAGTTTTGTCCATACTGCCAGATGTAGAATATATCACGGCTATAAGATATCGAAAATCGGCAATCTCCACTGATACGATAGAAAAAGTAATTACATGGACAGACTATAACCACCTCATGTTTCCATGGCAACCCCACTGGAGTCAGTCCAGAAAGATCGAAGTCTTAATCACTAAATTTCGATGTCGTGTCCCCCCCCCCTAAACCTATATCTACACAGAGCTGGTCAGACAACATCACCCCTCTGCGCATTCTGCGGAGAAATGGAATCACTAGATCATTATTTTTTGTATTGTCGCCGCTACGAAATACTTAGAAAAAGGTTACTAGTTATGCCATTTCGGAAAATAGGCCTTACATTGACGACGGAAACGGCGTTAAGCTTTGGCGCCTCAGCTTTGGGACATTGCCACAGGGATGCTTTCAATGCCGTTTGCGATTATATTCAGGCAACCAAGCGTATACCTTTGTGATCTTCAATCAAAAACAAAAAAAAATTATTTATTACTCCCAAGGTCAGAGTGAAGTAAACGCAGCTAAGTGGTAAACATAACACCTCAAATCTCAAAATTGCTCAACTTGATTTTTTTTTTCGTTTCCTCTGTTTATGTTGTTTTTATTTTTACATTAGTCTTATTATAATACCAATTCATTACACATAGTTAAAATGATTACAGATAAACTGCACTACACTTTCTTGGCCAATCCCCCTGAGTGGGTATGAGCCAACCTCCCAGGGAAACAAAACAAAACAAATAGCAGCATTTCAGCCGGTCTTCCCTTTGTGGGCGGATGTGCCACAAGCCTTCGGCAGTTTGAAGAGTGGGACATCGACGTTACGCTTACCGGACGACCGCACAAGACGGCAATGGGCAACTGCTGGTCCAAGGACACGTCTGACACGCAGGTGTCCCTACAAAGCGTGAGGTTAAGCTGGTCAACCACACCTGGAACACTTTCTGCCGGAACCACCCGGACTTCGGCAGCTTCCTGCTGCTGTCCATGTTCACTGAGCACCCACGCACACAGGAGGTGTTCCCGAAGTTCAAAGGTCGTTCAAAGTACGGGCTTGAAAACGACGTCGAGTTCCGGACGTTCGGCCGCGCGGTTGGTGACCAGCTGGCTGACATCGTCGACTCGGTGGACGACTACGAAGCCCTTGTGGCGATAACGCGTCAGAACGCGGAAGAACACGCCAACCGCGAAGGAGTACAATCAAAGCACTTTGAGCTCTTCTTCTCGGTGCTGTTGACCCAGATGCTCGCGAGCAACAGATCGGCCATGACGACAGCCACCGTCGCCGCCTGGGAGAAAGTATTTCAAGTGAGGCACTTCTCGCTAATAGCACGCACTTGAACTTGCGGTAGCACCGAACGAAACGCTAAGGGCGTTCCAGGTACTCTATAGTGTCTGAACTGGCTACGTATCCTGAAGGGGTACCACTGCCACGAGGCCTAAGGACAATGGACGCGCGTTCCACAAGAGCGTAGGACCGAGCAAGCTTTCTTTACCAGACTAGGACTCGAAGGTGGTTGAGGCAATTTAAATGCCGGATATGAAGTATCATGCGCCAACCGGCGTGCGTATCGATCAAGTTGCGTTGGCACGTCGGTGCTGGCGTGAGGAGACGACTACAACAAACGCAGCTGACGCGTCAGAGCGAGGAAGGCCCTCACTGGGGCACTTAGCGAGCTACTCCACCTAGCGGCGAACCTCACTTTTTCTAATCATGCCCTACTTTATATTTTTAAATGTCATTGCGCAAGAAGGAACCACGCAAAGATGAAATCGCAGATTTCATCCCCTAAACGATATACTTAACAAGCTTCGCTTAAAACAACGGTATGTCATTTCGCAGTACTTTAGTTGGCCATCTTCAAAGGTGACTGCTTTTTTGCTCTGTCTTACGCTCCGAAGCTACGCTGTGCTCTGACAGGCATACGCGTGCGCACAGGTTTGGCTGTACCCCCGCTCCTAGTCAATTAAAAAGGATGCGGGGTGGGGCGTGAAAGCTGCCTCATATAAGGGGGTCGGTACCATAAATATTCACCCGTCCAACACCCCCCCCCCCCTCCTGATTGAGGGTGAACTCTGGCTGAACTCTGCAAGTCTACGTTGCCACGGGTCGCAAACTGTCGCGAAATCATTAAACTAAAATCTACCTCTCTATCAGGCTAGCCACCGCTGTAGAAGAGTTTCAGAGGCCCAGAAATGTAAACGTGCTGAGAAATTTGCAAACAGCGGCTGTGTGTTGGAGCAGACGTTTGGCCCAGTGGGCGTATCTTTATCGATGCCGCGAACTGCGAGTTCGATTGTCGAAACGTTTGATGCAGCACGCAACTCCTGCTTACGATTTTCTTCATCGGAAGGTTTCCTCTTCACCTCTCAGATTTGTTTTCTTCTTTTTAATGTGAACGCGTTGGGGTCTACCGCGCTGCTCGCGTTTTGATGAAGGCAAAATGGTGGAGGCCTATGTACTGCACGATGTCAGTGCACATTAAAGATCACCACATGATCGAAATTTCCGCGGCCCTCCACTACGGCGTCCCTTATAATTATATAGTGGATTGGCGACGCTAAATCCATTATTATTATTATTATTATTATTATTATTATTATTATTATTATTATTATTATTATTATTATACATGAACGCGGTCTGATCGCGGCTCATGCGTAATCTGTTTATCTTGTACAAGAACCCCGATTTTGGTTATACTATATTGCAGTAAGACGTTGAGCCACTTGGTTGGGATTCATCGTGAGCGTGTTTACAGCGCAACACCAGAAACACAGATACAGGGAAGGGGCAAGAGAAAGAGAAAAGACGGCGCTCACTCTCAAGTCTTTTTTTTTTTTGAAAATTGAATTGTGACACACATATATAGTAAGAGTAAAAAAACGTGGCATGCGCAAGACACCGGGATTATTCCGACAGCATCATACAAACATGTAATCAAGATTGGCACAAGTAATCAAATTTCTCCTCATGCAGAAAAATGGATGCCTCACTAATACAGCTCTTACCCCTGATCGATGTGCTATAAGCCTCAGCAATTTTTCTTGTCAATAGATTCGCATGTTCAAAAACGATGGTGGTCTTGTTAAAGATTAGACGACATCCACATGACCTGCAGTGAACCGGCAGATGAAGTTGCGTATCCCCTTGAAGTGATAGCTCATAATATCTCAGCCGAACACTGACACATTAATTAGTTTGCCTCCATGCACTCCACACCACATAATAATGAAGTGGCATTTACTGCTCTCTTAACACATGCGATGTACTTCTTCCTATGAATAATGGTACACTTTCCTATGACTAACTGTGCATTTTTCTGCATGAGTGTGAATTTGATTACTTGTTCCGATCTTGATTACATGTTTGTATGACGACGCAGCCGGAATATTTCCTGTGTCTTGCGCAGGTCAGGGTTTTGTACACTTCCTATATATGGATGCGTCAAAATTCAGTTTTGAAGAAAAAAATTGGCAGCATATCCACGAAGTGAATAATGAAGAGCAGGGCGAAGCATTCGTCCGTCCATTCCTTCTTGCTTCCGTCCGTCCATGTGCCCGTCTGTGTGACCGTCCATGCATCCATCCGCCCGTCCCTGCGTGCGATTGTTCATGCGCCCGTCCCTGCGTTCGTCCATGCATCCGGCCCTGCGTCCGTTCATGCGTTCATCCATGCATCTGTCTGTGTGTCCGTTCGTCCATCTATTCAACACTCCAAGTACCACCATCTCGCATCTTTTTTATCATATATTCCCCATATAGCCACCCACACGTAGTGGGTCGACTGCAAGAGCGGCTCTACCATCTGGAGGAAAGAAAGAAGATTTGCGTGTCTCTTCTCGGCTCGAGAGCCAGCCACGACTGACGCATCGTCCTAGAGCTAGCTACCCGGTCGTTCAATATATCCCCCAGTACTTGTGACTCATCGTGACAAACTGGTGGAGGTGCTGGGTAGTCTCACGGATGCTGCAGACCCTTCCAGGAAGCCGTAATACGAGTCCAGTGCCAGTCAATACTCCCGTGCATCGGACCAGCCGCCGAATCAGGGGATTGCCTCCGGAAGTCAACGATACTGCTCCCACCACGTCAACAAACATGACCAGCACTTCGGTACAAACCTTGCCAACCGGCACGGGGAGCACGTCGTCGAACCGATATACGTTGGAAAGCCCACGGGCACCGACGACGTTCCATGGTACGGAGAGCGAAGACGTTGAGGACTGGTTGGCGGACTTCGAGCGCGTAGCCAACTTGAATCAGTGGGACGACGCGGCGAAACTGGGTCGTGTCTACTTCTATCTCGAAGACGGGGCTCGCACGTGGTATCAAAATCGAGAGGAGCAGCTGACGACGTGGCCAGAATTCTCTCGTAGACTTCTGCCGACATATGCCAGCGCTGACCGCCAAGAAAGAGCTGAACGAGCTATTCTTGCCCGCGTCCAGTCGCCAAACGAAACTGTGACCGCGTACGTCGAAGACATGACGCGTCTCTTCCGATGGGCAGATTCAAGAATGACGGAGGACAAGAAGTTGCGTCACTTGATGCGTGGTGTCAAGGACCAGCTTTTCGCCGGCCTCGTGCGAAGCCCTCCGAATACGGTCGCGGAGTTCTTGTCTGAAGCCGGGACAATGGAAAAAATGCTACAGCAGCGATCAAACCAATACGACAGGCAAGTCAATGGCATGTCCACTGCTGACATTTTCGCCGCCGCTGGGACCAGCAATGACTCCTTACGTGAACTCATCCGTAATATCGTACGTGAAGAGTTGCAAAAGGCTGGTGTAACACCTCATCCTACGGTTAGCTCTATTGCAACTGTCATCAAAGATGAGCTGCGCCAGGCCCTCCGGGACACCTTGCCTCCTGATACAGCTGCGTCAGCTCCTGCTGAATACCACCGTAAGACAACCTACGCGGAAGCCTTGAAACGCCCTGCTGCATCGCCGCCTTTGTTCGTTCATCCTGTCCCTGCAGTTTCACTCGAGTCAGCGCAGCACATGCCATATTACGAAGGCACGTACACGCCACCGCCCCTGCCCTTTGTCCGTGGTGCTTCTGTTGCCCATCGTTCGGTGCAACCGGTCCAGTACATCGACGATCGGCACTCGTATCCTCGGAAGTCTGATGTCTGGCGCACACCCGATCAGCGGCCTCTATGCTTTCACTGCGGAGAAGCTGATCACTTGTACCGCCAGTGTCCTTATCGCCGTCTTGGGCTTCGCGGCTTCTCTGCGTACTCGCCGCCCCCCCCCCCCGTTACGGTCAGAGACCACGCGACATCCAAAACTACCTCTCCCAGCAGCATGCACCACCGTCTGCCGGGCGCCAGTCGCGCTCGCCATCACCGAGGTGATTTTCGTCAATGCCCCAGCGGTATTCTACCGCACGATCTCCCAGCCCCCGCCGGGAAAACTAGCCGAAGCGACCTCTGGGGGCGGGGTCGCTGAACGTCGAAGCGCTGAAGACCTCCTGTTGACGCAGAACCGTACAGAAACTGGTCCGACATCACCTGCTGCTGCGAAGGATAGCCGGCTTTCACTCCACATAGCAGTAACAATTGATGGTTGTGTAGTTAATGCGTTAGTGGACACCGGCGCAGACTATTCCATACTGAGCGGGAAACTGACAACGCAGCTGAAGAAAGTAATCACGCCGTGGCATAACTCGCAGATTCGGACAGCTGGTGGCCATGTCGTAACTCCACTGAGCGCCTGCACAACTAGAGTACAGATTCAAGGGTACACATTCGTAGCAAGCTGCCTTGTTCTACGTGAATGCTCCCGTGACGTCATTCTGGGAGTTGATTTTCTACAGGAAAATGGAGCTATCGTTGATCTGCAAGAGCGCCGCGTCACGTTCTCAGCCCAGTGAGCAATCAACGTGCAAGATGACGGAATGCGTGTCGACGTACTCCGTATTTCTGAACAGAGCGTGACGCTTCCTCCCCGAGCCAGTGTTCTAGTCGACGTAACATGCTGTGGTTTGAGCGATGGTGATGTGGTGGCCGAGACAAATTTAGAACACCTCCTGCAGCAAGGCATATGTGTAGCGAGAAGTGTAATACACGTTCGCGACGGCCGATCTGAATTGCTCGTTAGCAACTTTAGCAACGAGCATCGACACCTTTTCCGTGGCACTTCGATAGCGTTTGCCCACGAAGTAGCAAACGTAACCAACTGTCTCACGTCAGAAATAGTGGATAACGCAGACACATCAATGAGCAACATTGACATCAATCCTGATCTGTCCACCGATAACCAGACTGCGCTGCGAGCGCTCTTCTTCGAGTACAGGTCTTGCTTCGCAAGTTGCTCAAAGATCCGCCAGACGTCCATCACTCAGCACAGGATCATCACGTACGAGGACGCACGCCCAATACACCAGCACCCCTACCGCGTGTCGGCTAAAGAACGTGAAGCGATACGTACGCAAATTCGCGAGATGCTTGACAATGGCGTTATCGAACCATCCAACAGCCCGTGGTCATCTCCAGTCGTGCTTGTCAAAAAGAAGGACGGATCGCTACGCTTCTGCGTCGATTACCGAAAGCTTAACAACGTGACCAAAAAGGATGTGTACCCGCTACCGCGTATCGACGATTCGCTGGATAGACTTCGTCGTGCCCATTATTTCACTTCTCTTGATCTCAAAAGCGGGTACTAGCAAATCGAGGTAGATCAGCGAGACCGCGAAAAGACAGCCTTCGTGACTCCAGACGGCCTATACCAATTTCGAGTACTCCCTTTCGGCTTGTGTTCAGCGCCGGCAACTTTCGAGCGAATGATGGACACTGTCCTCACAGGGCTCAAGTGGCAGACTTGTCTTGTCTACCTAGATGATGTGGTGGTCTTCTCTGCCACGTTCGAGCAGCACCTACAGCGCCTGCGCAGCGTGCTGGAGGCTATCCGATCGGCGGACCTCACTCTAAAGCCACAGAAGTGCCACTTCGGCTATGAAGAACTGAAATTTCTTGGACATGTAGTTAGCGCTGAAGGAGTCCGGCCCAATCCAGACAAGCTTGCCGCTGTTGCCGAATTACCAGCTCCTGTCGATAAGAAAGCCGTCCAGCGCTTCCTTGGTTTGTGCGCCTACTATCGCCGGTTCATTCATGGCTTTTCACAGATAGCAGAACCTCTGACTCGTCTCACGAGGGACGACACGCCATTTGTCTGGGAAAACGAGCAACAAGCAGCTTTTGATGAACTGCGACAGCGCATGCAATCAGCACCCGTTCTCGCTCATTTCGACGATGATGCTGACACGGAGGTCCATACTGACGCTAGTAACGTTGGGCTTGGTGCAGTGCTCGTTCAGCGTCAAGACGACATCGAAAGGGTGATAGCCTATGCCAGCCGCTCTCTATCCCGTGCCGAGGCGAATTATTCCACTACGGAGAAAGAGTGCCTCGCAGTCGTGTGGGCAATCACAAAGTTTCGCCCGTACCTTTATGGTCGTCCCTTCAAGGTAGTGACGGACCACCATGCCCTCTGCTGGTTGGCAAGCCTGCGCGACCCTTCAGGACGGCTAGCACGGTGGAGCTTGCGGCTGCAGGAATTCGACGTCACCATCGTCCATAAGTCCGGCCGTAAGCATGAAGACGCTGACACACTGTCACGCGCACCCCTTCATGTCGTCAGTCAGGAAGCAGAGGAAGACGAAGGCTTCCTGGGCGCCATTAGCTCATCAGACTTGAGTAAACTGCAGCGGGATGACGCAGAGATTCGTCCGATCATCGATCATTTAGAGGGCCAGGGCACAATCATACCACGTCATTTATCCCGCTCGTTGCCGTCGTTCTGCCTTCGAGAGGGTGTGCTGTACAAGAAGAACGCTCGTTCGAACAACCGTACCTACCTCCTGGTGGTTCCTCGAGACATGCGAGACGACGTCCTCTTCGCTTGCCGTGAAGAACCCACATCCGGTCATCTGGGCTACTCACGGACACTTGCCAGAGTGAGCGAGAGGTACTATTGGCCAGGACTTTCGGCAAGCGTCAAGAAGTACGTCAAGAGCTGTCGGGAATGTCAGCGCCGAAAGCAACCATCTGTTAAGCCAGCTGGTTTGCTTCAGCCCATTGAAGCACCCTGCACGCCGTTCGACCAAGTCGGCATGGACATTCTCGGGCCATTCCCCCTATCTGCGGACAGCAACAAATGGGTGATCGTCGCGACCGACTATTTGACACGCTACGCTGAGACGCAGGCGATCCCAGGAGCCACGGCTTCTGAAGTAGCACAATTTTTCATGCGCCACATCGTGTTACGACACGGTGCTCCTTCCAGTATAATAACGGACAGAGGGACGGCATTTACGGCGCAGCTAATGGACGAGGTTTTCAAACTGAGCAACACCAGACACCGAAAGACAACTGCGTACCACCCGCAAACCAACGGACTTACCGAGCGACTGAATAAGACCATCGCAGACATGATCTCAATGTACATCGACGTACAGCACAAAACATGGGACCGGATCTTACCTTACGTGACCTTCGCGTATAATACCGCCGTGCAAGAGACCACGCGATTCACGCCATTTCGGCTTCTCTACGGCCGCGAAGTGCAGACCATGCTGGACTCTATGCTACCGTGTCAAGACGAAGACGAGTTGGCAACTGACGCCGATGAATTCGCAGAGCGTGCTGAGGAAGCCCGGCAGCTCGCGCGACTACACATCGGCCAGCAACAGCAGGCAGACGCACGGCGCTATAACATCCGCCACAGTGAAGTATTTTACAACCCCAGAGACCAAGTTTGGGTATGGACGCCCGTCCGCCGCCGTGGCCTTAGTGAAAAGTTACTGAGCCGGTACTTTGGCCCTTATAAAGTGTTACGTCGCGTCAGTGACGTGAACTACGAAGTGGTTCCGGAATCAACATCGCAGGCACGGAGTAGGACACGACCGAGGTCGGATGTCGTTCATGTGTTGCGCATGAAACCATTTATTGCGCGTTGTTCATAACTTTTTTCTTGCCGTACAGCGTTCTTTGTGTTATTTTATTTTTGTGAACTTGCTTCTTCGTTCAGTGATTTTTCCTATATTGGCACGCTCGTTAATTTCTATTTTTACTTTATCCGAATTTCCAATTTCTTTTTTTCCACGTGCCTATGTTGTAACATCGTGGTGGTGCTATGTACTTTTATTCCCCCTTTTGGGACTCTTTTTTCTTTTCGAAAGGGGGGATAATGCCACCCACACGTAGTGGGTCGACTGCAAGAGCGGCTCTACCATCTGGAGGAAAGAAAGAAGATTTGCGTGTCTCTTCTCGGCTCGACAGCCAGCCACGACTGACGCATCGTCCTAGAGCTAGCTACCCGGTCGTTCAATATATCCCCCAGTACTTGTGACTCATCGTGACAATATAGAAGCACCGCCATCCAGCGGACATTCCAAGGACTAAACGAGAGGTGGCACACGCACACTTTCTTACGGCTTGCGTTTTGGGTCTACTTCCCACCTTTAGCCACCTCGAGTTCATGGTATATACTAGTTCACTGTACTCATGACACTGCGGCCCAACGCTCACTAAACCTTTCTAAAACCAAGGAAGTTACGCCCAGCGAGTATAACGTAGCAACCTTTTCCTGTCAGATAGTGCTCAATGTACATGCCAATGGCTTCTAATAAGAAATGAGAGACAGGAGAATTCGGCTTTTACTTTCTTACGGCTTGCGCTTCGTATCTACTTCCCACCTTTACATCACCTTGAGTTCATTCATGGTATATACTAGTTCATTGTATTCATTGCACTGCGGCTCAACGCTCGCTAAACCTTTCTAAAAATAAGAAGGTTACACCCAGCGAGTATAGCGTAGCAACCCTTTCTTGTCAGATAGTGCTCAATGTACATGCCAATGGCGACTAATGGAGATTGCAGCGTGCGCGTTAAGTAAAAGCCGAATGCTTCTGTCTCTCATTCCCCATTAGCAGCCATTGGCATGTACATTAAGCACTATTTATTATTGTTCAACAACGCACAGAAGTAATCTCTCACCGGCACCACCTTGGAAGTCAAAATGTTATACTTGTTACTTCCTACAACAGCTACGAGGGACGAACGGGTGTCGCTATAAGGAGTTTCATCCCTAAAATCAGTTGATAGCCAGCGCCGTCTTTCCTTTCTCTTTTGCTCCTTCGCTGTGTCTGTGTTTCTGCTGTTGCTCTGCATGTAAACAAGTTAACGATGTATACTATGCTGCTTTGGCTGGTTGTCGCAGACTCTGAGAATAATCACGAGGGAGGCCTTTGATGAGGCTGCCGAGGAAGCTGTGCATTCAAAGCGGGAGAAGGAAACCAAGTAAACGTCTAGTCATCCCAAGTGGCATTCGTCGCGTGCAAAGCCGACGTTCCGAAAAGTTTCCTCGGCGAACAGCCCAATCGGCCACCACTCGACGAGTACCAAGACTCCGTAGGTCGTGCGGAGAGCCATCGAGAACGCCAACTCAGAACGGCGGCTTTTCTGGAAGAGCGGTAGCGAGAACAATGGCGAGGAGATAAACAAGCATACGTGAGCGCACCTGTTCGCTTACGGTGGGTGCTGTTTTTGGGACAACAAATATTACCAGCATTGAACGTTTCTTCCACGTAGATATGCTGTCTGTGAGTACTTTTTACGCGCAACCTTGTAAGGCAGCTGATTTTGGTACGATAAACTGATTAACTGAAAGTGCCGTTCATTGTCAATTGATGGGCATATATTTTGGAGTGATCGTTGCGCAGGCTCGGGAACCGAAATGCGAACATAAAGGTCTATTTTTTTAGTCTTTATAAAAGCAGCTAACTTATCGACGACAAGGCTATTTTATGTTATCAACACATTTGACACCTACAAGGATCAAAATATGAGAAAGTATTAACTTCGCGGACACCTGTGCAATGAACACAGTGATAACTTACAAGGGCACCTTATGGGTTCGCATAAGAGGACTCAAAGGTGAATGTCATCTTTTGTCGTCAGTAGATATGTATGTATCCTACCGCTCCCCCACCCCATTTGAAACCTTTTACACCGAAACTGGTTTTGCATTGCCGCGTGATAGGCGCACCTTTCCACCAAGCGTCGACGTGACGCGATGACGTCAGCATAATACCTCTTCGTACGCGAGGAAGAGGGGGAAGAAAACAGTGCATTGGCGGCACTGTAAAGGTTCATCAATGATATATTTAGTGCGAAACAAAACCACAAGAAATAATGACAGTACGAAGAGTTTCGTCCTTTCGTTCTTTCGGGTGGTGTTGTTTCGCGCTTTAAAATATTCGAGGGAAATGGTTTATTCCCTCGAATATTTTTTTAGATGCGGAAGCATCTTATACTCGCGCCTTGTAGTGCGCCGTCCACGCCGTCCGCGCCGTCCGCACCGCTTCTCGAACATTCGACAGCTGACGCGCGCGCATGCGCCGTCGCGCCGTCGCCCATCATCTGTGCCGCGCGCGCTTCTCCTTCGAGAACATTCGACAGCTGACAGCGCATGCGCCGTCGCGCCGTCGCCATCTGTGCCGCGCGCGCGCTTCTCCTTCGAGAACATTCAACAGCTGACAGTGGATGCGCCGTCGCGCTGTATATATACTCAAGGTCGGCGCTCGCTCGCTCAGTTGCCGCTCGTCGGTTGGTTTGTACGGCGCGTCGATGTCCAAGCTCGCGGTGAAATGAATTCCAACGAATCCACAAACACAATGATCGACGTCCCTTCGACCAGCGCCGTCCTTTCGCATACGTGTGTACGTGTTCACTCATTTAACACCCCCTCCTACAACCACGTTAACCAATTTAGCCATCGACCTAAGTAAGTCGCAATTTAACACCCCATTTCACAACCACGTTAACCAATTTAGCCATCGACCCAAGTAAGTCGCACTTTAACACCCCGTTAACCAATTATATGCTCCGCATCCTCCTCAGTGTTCCCTCGAGGGAAGCTGCGGGCAATTTTTTTTATCCTGGGTGCTCACTTTTTTGTTGTTATTGTCGCAAATGGTAGTGTAATGTTACGGTGCAAGTTTTCTTGTATAACTTGTCCTTTTGGATTAACTGCAGATTTTTTAAAGTAATATATTTGATCCACCCTGGGCATAGACTGTTTGATAAATAACGGAGCAGTTCGCCAGTCCTGTGTGTTTCTTCTTGTATTTTCCAAAACAACGCAGTATTTTTGTATAGTTTTAGCTTTTGGTAAATTCTTTGCGATGTTGTTCCCCAGACTAGCATCCCACAAGTCACTCTAAAATGAAAAAGCACGTAGCACACCCTTTTTTTATACCTTAGTGGAATAAAGTGCATTGTTCTAAAGAAAACTATTCGTGACAGTGCGGTAATTGAACGGTTCGCATGTGTGTTCCAGTTTAATTTCTCCTGAACACACACGCCAATGTATTTCTGTTCTCTAACAAGTGCGATGTAATTTCCTTCAAATTTTACAGCTATGTTACTGAAAGATTTGTTTATAGGCTGGAATATTATATAGGTTTTTTTTTCGCATTCAAGTGCAGTTTTTTTTTTGCTTCAGCCAATATGAAAGGTGACCTAGATAGTTTACGCTTACTTCAAGTGATAATATATTGTCTGATTTAGGAAAACATTTGTATCGTAAGCGTACATAACACGTTCATGGAAATCAGGTATATCGACAATATTATTTATATAAGCAAAGAACGATACTGGCCCCAGTATGGACCCTTGGAGCACTCCTTGGTTTAATAGTTTTGTAGATATTCTATTGTTGATATGTACAAATTGTTTGCGATCTTCCAAGTAACTTTTAACAACTGTAATGCTACTCCACGCACCCCATACCTGGACAATTTATTATTCAATAACGTGAACTGTATGGAGTCAAATGCCTTCTGAAGATCGAGCAAGAGCCAAAGTGTGTTATTTTTGTTTTCCATATTTTCGATTATCTTATATTTAATATACAGTAGCACTTGTTCAGTTGGTTTATTTTTTAAACCATACTAAATTTTTGTTATTATTTCATGCTTATGAAGAAAGGATGAAAGTCTATCCGAAATTGTCTCTTACTTATACAAATAAGTTATACGAATTCCGTTTGAGTGTCACGTTTGAACTCGAAACTTGAAAAAAATATAAATCAATTACGATATCATGCTGATTTACGTGCTAGAGAAATGGCGTTTATGACAACTCGTGCAGAATCTGTTGATGTACCAACACCCAGAATAAAGTTGGGCCAACAATGCCTGCAATATCCTTTCCTTCTCCTACATAGTGGTTTTGATTTCTTCAGTTCGTCAATAAGTGTTTTGCGGACTATGTATGTTGACATGCAGATATAGTTTTCTTTCCAAATTTTTTTTTCTCAATTTATCCTTTGCAGCCATATCTGTGTGTCCCTTTAATGATAATATTATTTACGCTAAATTCTACAATCTCTTCTTGTTTCTATTCTGCATATGTCGATTATTGTTTGTTTGCCATTACACTGTGTTTAATGAACCTCACTGTGAAGCTGCGGCTAACAAAAGTGTGTCATGGCTTTGTGAAGCTGCCTCTGAAAGCTTTTCTTGCGCTTCAACTTTCTGTACGCCTACAAGGCAGAAAATAAAGAGTTTGAGGTTGAAATGCATCAGGGACGGAAATTTGTCTTGCTTACTTCGTATAACATTCTATTTTGTTGCGATCGCATTCATTGATTCGCATTGCGGCGTGATTGTGACCTTGGTGTAATAAATTGTATTTACTGTAAATTCAAATCATTAGCAGAAATGAAATAGATTTGAAGGAATGATCCCTTGAGCGAACCTCAGAAAAATAATAAGCAAGGTAATAAGGCATACGAAGAATAATTCGGTGACGATTGTTATTGCTGAGTATGATGTGCTGATTGTGAATGACTGGTGCCTTTGATTAGTTCTAGTTAACACGCGAGCCCCCTCCGAACAAGGTTCTTGGCTAGGCCACTGATGAAGACGTACGTCACGTGCCTCTTTCACCGGGTGTAGCGTAGGAGACTGTGGCGGTCACCGCACGTCTCATTGCGCTAACCGCTTCGCTGATCGAGCTCGAGCGCGTTGGCGGCGTTCGGTGCTCCCTATTATCTGCATTAATTGCTTTTCATGCAGTGCGGGAGAAAAACTCTGCTTTATTTTGATTTCACTCAGGAATAGTGCACGTTAAATACAATGAAGGTAACTTACGAGCGTGAAATAGCAATAATGCACGAAATAATGTGAAACACGTGCAACGTGCTCATCGTGAGTTAGTACCTGATCGTGCATCCTCGCTGTCCATCTCGGTGCTGCCACGGCATTCTTCGCCCAGCGAACAAAGATCGGCGTCAAGATGGTTTCTTTCGCCATAACTGCTCATCTCAATCTTAAAAATGTTCTTCGCCGAACGATAGCCTCACCACGTTATTTGATCGCAGAGACAATTTGGTCTCCAATCATTCAACGAGAAAATCCCATGGAGTATTCTGCCACCTATCAAGAAACGCACAAAAGAAGTAGTGAACCGCTGGCCAACTTGAGATTGAGTTCAGTTTCAGAAGAGCAGAGAGCTAACCCGTGTGACTTCGCACCTGCAAAGTTACGGCATTCATGAGCTACAGAAGCACTGACGAATGCTATATGCAAGTAAAAAGAGTCCAATTTCAACTAGAGGGTCAGAAAATGATATTTGAGTAACCTACGCGTTTGCACAAAAGCTCGTGCAGCTGACATGTGCGCGCTGTGAGCTAACATTGAAAGCGCGAAATGCCCCGTGTTCTCACGAAAACTTCGCGTCTCGCAAAGGGGGCTTAGTTCGTTCTCTCATGCAGGAAACACGCAAGCTTGTGTATACAGTTCGTTTTTAAGTGCGAATGCACTTTATAAGCGACCCTGAATCCGCCGTCCCGCGGTGCGCCTCCTCCTCTCCCCTAGCAACGGCGCGAGGAGCGGAGAAGAGCGTCTCTAGCAACGGCGCAGCGACGTCACACACCACGTGATTGCCCACGCTCCGCCCTCCGCTCCGTGGTTGCCCGCGCCCGCGCAGCCACGACTTGCTCGAGATCGGCAAGTCGTCATAGATATCGATCACAAGTCGTCATAGACCGTTGCTCAGGGAGAAGAAGGCATCTGGTGGCTCCAGCGGCAGACCCTACGTGGCAAGATCCTTCGCAAGACCGTTCTAGTCTCGCCTTCAAGCTTGCCAGTGCTAAACCTCCTGGTGTGTTCTTGGCTGAGGATTGAGTGGTTTTAACTTTCTGTCTTAGAGTCCAATTCTATAGTTTATCTGTTCCTGAGTCTAACCATATCTATAGTGCTCATGTCGACTACTTCTCCTGGCTACGCGCGATCCGCCTGGTCAGCGTCCCTGCTATCTAATGAATTGCCGCTAGACTCCTTTTTCCGCAGGGGTATCGACAGCATCCCCGTGGCACTGGCACCTACAAATGGCGGCTTCATCAGACTTGCAAACCCTCAGGCGGTCCAAAAGGAACTTCAAACAACTTCAAACCATTTCCAGACCATCACAGATGTGCGCCCATTTGGGTGAGGAGGTATCGTGTGTAGGTCGCTGGATCAGACCTGCGTGCAGGATCTTCTCAAGTGCACCTCGTTTGCTGCTACCCTGGTGCGTGCTTTCATTCCGCCTCACCTTGCATGTACCAAAGGCCTTGTACGGGGAGTCGACTCCAAGCCGAGTCCAGCTGAGACCCTAGACATGCTCTCTGGAGCAGGCGTAATTTCTATTTACCGGTGTAATCGCCTAGTCGACAAAGAGAGGGTACCAACCGAATCTGTCATCGCGACATTTGCGAACACAAAATGCCTGTCAGAAATAAAATTATGGCCATTGATCTTTCGAGTAGAGCCCCTCGCTTCTCGTCCGATTCAGTGCAAGAACTGCTGGAGATTCAGCCACAGTGCGAGAGGATGTAAATCAACGGTAGTTGTAGCTCCTGCGAAGAGAGCCACCCTTCAAGCAAGTGTACTGCAACAGTGGAAAATATTTCTCTCTGTGGGGGGAGTCACTGCGCCGACAACTCTGAGTGTTCCGCTCGTTCTCAGGAGGTTCAAATCCTAAAAGTGATTGACCACCACCGCTGTTCTCGAAGGGAAGCCATTGACATAGAGACAGGGCTTTTGAATACTCTGGCATTACAGCGCGCTACACTTCCAGTATAGACTCAAACCTATCGCAGGCTATTGAAACTGCTGTGGAAAAGGCAGTGAGTAAGGCAATGGATAAACTCATATCTACCCTTTCCAACTGTTTCGTGCAAATTCTTTCAAGTCAGAATGCGCAAACAGTACAGACTCGTACAGAACCTGCAGTATCGGACATTATCAGCGATGCCCCTTAGCTGCGCAATGTAGTTTTGGACGAACTTTCTGCATCTGCAGGCAAGGCTAATCAGTCAGGAATACAGGTGCACTTGGACCGACATACGCCTCAGTCGAGCCCAAGTGCTGCTACAGATATGGAACTCGATATACGAACTAATAAACGTACCAGATTCCCTATCTTCACCACTCTCAAGACGAAATCTAAACGAAATGAATCGGCTATTTCGCGTGAACATGCTAACAAGGGCGCTACATGCGCTTCTGCGGTGCACCCAGCACCATAGGTCAGTTGAGGGTACTACAGTGGAACTGCCGTTCTATATTCTCAGCCTCAACGGAATTACAATTTACTTTTGCAATAAGTTTAATCTTGATATTTAATTCTCCAAGAAACGTGGCTCACACCAGATAAAAATTCCATCTTGTAGGTTTTCGTTCTTTTCGAGTTAGATCGCCCGTGTTGTAGCCTCGAAGGGACGAGCAGAGCCAGAGGGGCCGTGAACGAAGAACAGTAAGACGGTTTATTACTACATGAATACGGAGTACAAAAGAGACTGGGCGCCCGGTTCACAACGCTTATATAGCCATGAAGCACCGGTGCTATCAGCGTGACGTCACACAGGCTTCACATGACACCACACGCCTTCCCACAATGTTTATGGCCTATACCAATCGGGAGGTTTTCTTGTACGAGCACTGCATCGAAAAGTCTGAGCACCTAAAGCAGACACAGGTATTCGCAGAGGGGACGTTGCTGGGGCAGAGCCTTGATGTGGACTTGCATTTAGTTATTCAGAGGGAGCTGAGTTTCCGGGTTGCTCCGGCGGTGCATAGCAGACCTGGGAGACGCATGAACCAGAAGGGGACGGGGGCTCGTAGGAGGGGCTTCGGACCCAGGGTCTGGAATTGAGCTGGGCACGCAACAGGGACGCTCACTGGGGCCTTCTTCGCCACTCTCCAAGTAGCGCGGACGTAACTCGTCTACATGCATGAACCTGTTTTCGGATCCTACGCGCACAAGGTACGTGCCGCCACTGCACCTTCTTTCTATGACACCTATCAGCCACTTGGGATCACCTGGACGAAGGCCTTGAACCAGAACGCTTTCCCCCTCTTTGTAAGCTCTTTCCGACCCTCTTCTTTTGTCAACTTGGGCCTTTACTTTGGAGAACCGTTCTTCCACCCATCTCTCCAGGTCTGGCTGTAGCCTAGACAGGCGTGTGCGGGGCGACCACGACAAAAACAGTTCTGCTGGTGTCTGCCCCGTGCTTGTGGTCGGTGTGTTCCGGTACCTGAACAGAAAGAGATCTATGCAGTGCTGTAGGTTCTTACTCTGGCCCGATGACCTTTCGTCGAGAAGCTGTAGCGTAGGATTCCGTTTCACCGTCTGGACGCATCTCTCGGCGCTTCCATTGGACGCCGGGTGGTATGGAGGTGTTCTGGTGTGCCGCACTCCGTTCTTAAGCAGGAACTCTGTGAAACTCTTTGCCTTGAACTGAGGCCCGTTGTCCGTAACAACCTCCTCTGGAAGGCAATACGATGCGAACACCCCAAGCAGCCCCTCGACGGTCTTCTCGGTCGTTGTTGAATTCAGGCAAAAACGCCTCCACCCACTTCGAGTGTGCATCCACCAGCACGAGGAGCTACTTGTCTGCGAATGCTGAAATCCAGGTGGAGTCGCTGCCATCTGCGGCTCGGCCAACCCCAAGTTTGTCGTGGGGCCTTAGGTGCAGCGTTCCGCGTCAACTGACAAGTACAGCAACTTTTAACAGCATTTTCAATATCTTGGGTTAACTGAGGCCACCAGACATAGCTGCGCGTGAGCATTTTCATACGCGTAACTCCGGGGTGACCTTCATGACAAAGTGCCAATACTTGTTTACGCAAGCAGTGTGGAACAATTACCCGATTTCCCCACGTAACGCACTGCTGATCTACCAATAGTTCATACCGGCGAACAAAGTACGGTTCGAATTTACTATCAGTGACATGCGCAGGCCAGCCATTTTTCGTGTACCACAACACTTTCGATAGCACTCTATCAGTATTCGTTTTCTTGCTGATTATGTCAGCAGACAGTGGAAGTTCATGGACAACAGAGAAAAATTGTACGTAATCTGAGACATCTCGCTCATTCGCCAACGCAATCGCGAAAGCCCGTCAGCGTTTCCCATGTTGCTGCCTTTTCGGTACATCCATCTGTAATTGTACGCCGCCAGTAGCAAAGCCCATCGTTGCATGCGCGCTGCAGACATTACTGGAACTAGTCTTCCGTGCCCCAGAGGGCTGGCTAATGGCTGGTGGTCTGAATAAATGACAACACTACGCCCAAATAGGTATTTGTGGAACTTCATCAGCCCAGAGACCACGGCGAGAGCCTCTTCTTCAATGTGAGCATAACCTTTCTCTGCTTTGCTCAGTGCCCTAGACGCATAAGCAATAGGTTTTTCCACCTTATTGATCTTACGAAACCAAATGGTGCCCACGCCATACATGGATGCGTCACACACCAGCCCTATCTCTTTCGTTGGGTCGTAGTAAGTCAAAACGTTTCCTTCCGTCAACCACGTTTTACTTTGCTGGAACACTTGCTCTGCCTCACGGGACCACTTGAAACCTTTTTCTTCGTTCAACACATCATACAGTGGTCTGAGTCTCGTGGCCACGTGGGGAACGAGCTTAGCATAATAATTTATCAACCTTAAGTAAGCTCTCTTAACTGTGCCTCATTCGCTGGTGCAGGGGCCTCCGTTATAGCTTTTACTTTTTCCGCTGACGGGCGTATGCCCTTTTCGTCGAGAACGTGCCCCAAATACTGGACGGAAGTTTGAAAGAACTTGCATTTCTTTTTTCAGTCGAATGCCTCTTTCTAGAAACCGGGACAGCACAATTTTTGCTTTATGGAAACATTCTTCAAAGGTAGCTCCTGCTATCAGCACGTCGTCTAGATAGCACGCTACCCGATCAAGTCCTTTCAACTCGTCATCTATAACTGCCTAAAAAATCGAAGGTGCACTCGTTATGCCATAGGGTAAGCGCGTATACTTGAATAACCCGAAATGTGTGTTGATAACGACTAGCGACTGCACTTGGGGATGCAATTCCAGCTGCTGGTATGCAGTGGACAAATCGAACACCGTGAAATATTTGAAACCAGCCAGCTTTACAAACAGATCCTCAATCACGGGAAGGGGGTAATTATCAGTTCTTAGGCATAGGTTTAGTGTCACTTTGAAATCCCCACACACCCTGACCTGGTTGTTTGGTTTCGGCACCACTACTAGTGGCGTCGCCCATTCACTCTGCTGAACAGGTACTAGCACTCCGCTTTTCACGAGGTTCTGCAGTTCCGAAGACACTGCTTCTTTAACTGAAAATGGTACCGACCACGCTTTACAAAAAACAGGTGTGCTATTATTATCTTTAAGCACTAACTTGATGGCCCTGTTCTTAATTAGACCCAAGGCTAAAAAATCTGAGCATACTTTTCAAGCAGCAATGCCACTTTGTCCAAGCAAACCCTATGCACACTAGCCCAGTCTAACTTCAGTGCTGACAGCCAGTATCACCCCAACAGCATAGTCTTAGTAATCTCGTTTGTTTTCACGACAATTAGTGAAAGTTGCTTGTGCAGACCATTGTGCTCTACGGAAACGTTTAACTTCCCTTTTACCGTCAGCGGAGTGCCACCGTAGGTTTTTAGCTTAAGACTGCATGGCTCTAAGAGTAGGCTGGGCCAGTATTTCTTGCAGAGTGACTCTGGTACAATTGGCGCAATCGCCCCTGTGTCAATCTGTATGCGCACACTTTTCTGATCTAGCTTCAGGCAAATTTCGTAGAGTCTGGTGCGCCCCTCACAGGAATAGATATTGTCCAGCACATGTTCGCCCGCGTCACTTTCCTCGTCTATTACGTTCGCAGGCGTCTCTACCTCTGTCCCTACACATCTTCGCTAAGTGTCCAACCTGTTTGCACACCCGACAACGGTACTTGCGAAATTTGCAGATAGATGCTTCATGCTCTGAGCCGCATCGGAAACAGTGCAGTGGTTCCGCCCCCCTAGTACCAGCAGGCATCCCCGAAGTTTCTTCTCTCCAGCGTGGTGGGCGTTTCCCGCTATCTGTTTTGCGGCTAAGGGTGCTGATCATTCCTTGTGCCGACTCGGGCTGAAAATCCTGGCTTTCTTTCCGGGCCAACTCGATGCTCCTAGCGATATTGCAGGCCTTTTTAAAGGCAAACTTGCTTGTCTTTAACAGCTCTGCTTGTGTTTCTTTGTCACAAAGTCCTGCCACAAACGGTCGCGCAGCGCGTCATCGAGAAACGTTCCGAAATCACAGGATGTCGCCAACCGCTTCAGCTCTACAGCAAAGGCTGTCACCGCATGCCCATCTTGTTGAAAACAACGATTGAATTTGAAACGCTCGGCAATCACGGAAGTTTTGGGAACGTACTGCTCTTTCAGTGTCTGCACTAACTGTGCGTACGTCTTGTTTTCTGGCTTTTCTGGCTCCAGCAACGTTTTAAGAGTTTTGTAGGCCTTCTTTTCTATTGCCGTTATGAACACTGACACCTTCAGGTCGTCGCTCACCTGGGAGGCCTTCAGAAAGTAGTCGAACCGCTCCACGTAGGACTGAAAATTTTTGTCACCATCCTCGATGAACTGATCAAACCTTCCCAACGTCGCCATCCTGCCCGTATCTTCGGAGTGCTTCGGAACCACCGCTAATGGTGTCTTGTAGCCCAGTGGAATATGAATCCCGTCCTCGTCGCCAGTCTGTTGTAGACTCGAGGGACGAGCAGAGCCAGAGTGGCCGTGAACGAAGAACAGTAAGACGGTTCATTACTACATGAATACGGAGTACAAAAGAGACTGGGCGCCCGGTTCAAAGCGCTTATATAGCCATGAAGCACCGGCGCTATCAGCGTGACGTCACACAGGCTTCACATGACAACGTGGTGGTGGTTTAATGATCCTTGTGTCAAGTAAATTATGCCATAGGGCAAACATTTCTTTCAGAATGTTAGACTCGGATTGTGAAATATTATTATTATAGTTGTGTCTCCCGGTTACCACCCTTTTTCAATTAAAAATTGTTACTTCCCCTCCGGTGTGCAAAGTACGCGTTATCTTGACAATGTTTTGGTAGCATGTAGAAAGGAAAATTTACTCACAGGAGACTTTAATTCAAATCATTTGTCTTGCGGTATAAGGACAGATTCTTGTGATAGGCGACTGTGGGAATGGACTATTGATCACAACCTCTCCTGTCTGAATAAAGGACATGTAACATTTGTCCGAGGTCAGACTTGCTCAATATTGGATTTAACGCTTTGATACAATGCAATCAAGGTTTTGTCATGGGCTGTTCTGGATTCGGCAACTAAGAGCGACCATCTTCCTGTAGTTTTTGACATTACTTGTCCAACAACAACTTTAGATCACCCAAAACGCACATACATCAACCATAGCAAATTTCAAGCCTGCCTTCGTTCTTCCATTTCCAAGCTTGAAAATGCCAGTGCTAAGGAGATTTCATCTACCATTGGTTCAATGCTGGAGGTATCTAGAAAAAATTCAGAATCTTCTATTCCATCGAATAAACGATCCTCCTCTCGTTGATGGAACGATGAGTGTATGCGCGATTATAAAAGATGAAAAGCCGCTTGGAAAAAACTTCTTCATAATCAGGGCCCCACAAACTGGAAGGACTATCGATTCCTTGCTGGCGTATTTAGGCGTGCTGTGGACCGCGCGAAAGAAGAATACGACAGTAGACATTTTGATTATCTTTTTAAATGAAAAAATGAGCGTTCTTTGTTCGTTTATCTTCGGACAAGAAAGGTACTGCCAGCACCTTTAACGTTGCAGTCATGTGTCTTGACGCCGCTAGAAATGAACACCTCTCTAGAAGACATAGCGCAAGGTTTAGAATGCCGCTTTACTGCTAATCTTTCGGCCATTCGGTCTATTGTGGTAAACTTGCATGAATTTCCAGAAGTTCTTTAGCTGAATTGAGTAACGCAGTATTATGCTTACCGAAGACTACTCCTCGACCAGATGGAATTACGAACTCTATGTTAAAATGTTTAATCCAGGAATCGCCAAATCTTTTGCTAGAACTAGTGAATTATTCGTTAGGGAACGCATGGATACCTCCAGAATGGAAACTTGCCAAAATTGTATTGTTGCTAAAAAATGAAAATGAAGCATACATGTTGAATAACTTAAGTCAGATCACACTGACATCAAACTTAGTGAAATTGGTTGAGAGAATCACCAATATACGAATTAATGAACTTATCATGAGGTCAATTCTAAGCCCCTGTCAAATTGGGTTCAGGTCTGGTTGTTCCATTTGGGGTGCCCACGTTGATTTAGAAAGTCAGTTTCAATTAGCTCGGCTACATGAAAAATATGCAGCTTTAGTTACCTTAGACATCGCTAAAGCATATGATACCGTGGAGCACTGTATTTTGATAGATCAGTTAGAATACCTTGATTTTTCATCATGCATAGTAGCGTGGGTTCACAATATTCTAGAAGACATGAAATTTTATTGTTTTAAAGATGGGTTATCATCATCTACTCATACCCAAACGAGGGGAGTACCACAAGGCTCAGTGCTTTCCCCGGTGCTATTTATTTACTAATGAGCACCATTCCACGTAAACAGGACATAACAACCTATGTTTGTGCAGACGACATCACGTTTTTTTGCAATGGCAGACAACATTCAGACCTTATATGAACGGCTGCAGACTTACCCTAATATATTGGAGAGTTGGCTCGATGGCAACTGCTTTCTACTTAATCCGAGTAAATGTGCCCTCCTTGTTTTCCCGCTGCAATACCCTGTGAACATCTCTCTGTCTTACCATCATGAGGATACACTACAGGTGGAATCTATTAAATACCTTGGAGTAATTTATCACACATCGCTTAACTGACGACCTCATATCGAATATATCACCGGAAAAGGTGTGTGGGCCATTGGCATATTACGTAGGCTAAGCAACTACCGCATAGGTATGAGAAGAGACACATTGGTAATGATTTGACAGCGGTGACAGCGGCGGAGCAGCAGGCGTAATTCTTGAATGTTGCACATTACAGGCGTCAATGCAACCGTGCTGACAGCGATATTCGACGGACACGTGGGACTGCACCGCAAGACAGCGCAAGTGTACAAAAGAGGACGGCAGCGCACAGGCTTCGTTCATCGGGTCCTGACTGCGCAGGCTGAACGACAGAGCTTGTGACCACCGCCCGGCTATAAAACTACCGCTGTTGCACGGACGCATCATTTGGCAGCGGTGACAGCGGCGGAGCAGCAGGCGTAATTCTTGAATGTTGCACATTACAGGTTAGCAACATTTTCAAATATTTCTAAAAGTCTATTAGGACATTATCGCTGTCACCGCTGCCACAAAGAGTGACACTTTCTGTTCGTTGTTGTGACCATTAGAAATGACAAAGGATGTTTCAAAACAGGTTCAACAGTTCAAAGATGAACTCTGGAATGAATCTAAGAACTTGAAAGAATCTCTCGAAAGAAGCATGCTTGCAGAAGAGAGAAAACTCCGGACTGAGATCGACGACATGAAGCGCCGCATGGATTTCATTAGTAAAAATCTTGATGATGCTAACTTGCGGCTTGATGCTACTTTAACGGAGAGCAGCTCTCTTATAATAGAAACTGAAGCGCTCCAGCATAAAGTTCACTCATTAGAGAGGGAAATGATGGAATGTCAAACCAGTCTTGTGAAAACTGAGTAGTACTCGCGCAACAAAAACCTTGAGATCAAAAGTGTTACGGAAACACCGAATGAGTGTTTGGGAGATGTTCTTGCTCAAATTGGAACGGCCATTAGTGAACCTATCTGCGCGAACTATATAGACGTAATTCACAGAGTGGCAACGAAAGACAAGACAAAGAAGAACATCATTGTTCAGTTCGTGAAGTGCGAAAAGGGAGACAAGGTTCTAGAGAAGGCTAAGAATACAAAACTTACTAGCGGAAGCCTGGGTCTATCACTGTAAGCTTCTAGAAGTGAGGCAAATCATCCTATCTTTGTAAATGAACACCTTTGTCAGTATCTAAAGAGACTACTTGGTATGGCAATAGCGCGCAAGCGCGAACATGGCTGGAAGTTTGTCTGGATAAAAAACGGTGCCAGTTTTGCCCGTCGCGATAAGACTTCGTCCATCGTGGCAATAAAACGCGAGAGCAATTTGGACAAGATTACCGCCGGAGGATAAGGACGCGCGCCCCCTGCGTGAACACTTCGGTTGTCCAGATTGTAGAAACATGGATGCTAACTTCGTGCTACCTGAGGACATGCGTGGTATCATATCTGACAACCCAGAGAAGCTTTTCAAGGTTTTCCATCTAAATGTTAGATCCATGCAATGTAAATTTGATTAAATCCACACCCTTTTAGAATCCTGCAATATTAGTTTCGATGCACTTATGTTCACTGAGACTTGGTACAATGAAAATTCGGATCGCTTTGTTTTACCGTCTTACGACAGTTTTTTCTAAACAGAAAAAATTGTAGGGGTGGTGGAGTTTCTATTCAGGTTGCTATACCAGGTTTTGAAATTCTACCAGAGTTGAGCACTGTTACTTGTGATATCGAAGCCATTTGTATTAAGAAAAATAGCAATGTGTTCGCTGTTCTGTACAGACCACCAAGTGGCAACATCTCGGCGTTCTTGAAGTTTCTCGATTCTTTGCTTTCATGTGCCAGTGAAAACAGGTGGTTACTAACAATAGGCGGTGATATGAACATTGACATTGCAAAAGGCTTGAGTGCGGCGAATGATTTTTTGCTTGTATTACAAAGCAACTGTTTTCAAAATCTTATATCAACACCTACACGCGTTACTCTTTCATCAGCATCTGTGCTAGATTTGTTCATTACTAACCGAAACACTGATGGCATTCTCTCTGGCGTTATCAACAGTGACGTCAGTGATCACCTACCTACATTTTGCATGCTTAACCGTAACAGTTCATTGCAACAAAGGAATTGGCCTCAGCTCGTGTACAGGGATATATCGTCTCAAGCGCTAGAGGTGTTTCGGGATAAGATTTCTAAAACAGATTGGAGGGAAGTATTTCTTCTTAAAGACAGCAATAAGCGTTATGACTTATTTATAAAAATGTTCAAAAAACATTATTTAGAGTTGTTTCTATCACGGACATAACGTAAACAAAAAAGGGTGCGCAAACCGTGGATCACACATGAATACATCAAGCGTATTAAAAATAAGAATAAGCTTTTTGCCAACTTTCTGAAGTCTCGTAAACCGAAGAATTAAAAGAGTTTAAGAAATTTCGAAATAACTTGAATAAAAACATTAAAAATCAAAAAAACGAATATTATAAGCGTGTATTTGACAACGATTGCTTGCGTAGTGGTAACAAAGTGTGGGAAAAAATGAACGAGGTACTAAACCAGAATACCAAGGATTATACGATCGACAACCTCGTCATAAATAACAAAACAATTGGCGGGACCGAACTCGCCAACCTTTTCAACAATTTCTTTGTTGAAATTGGAAGTAGCACCTACTGTCACGAAGCTGCTAATCGTATCCCGAGACTATCCCACACAATTTACTTGCAGCCAACATCTGTCCCTGAAGTGACAATGCTGTATCAGAAGCTTAGGAACAGTCGT